TAAAGCTGATGGTGAAATACGCGCTGTTTTCCTGATTATTTTTGAAGAATTTAGCTAGAAAGGCTTATGTGCAATTCCCAGATAACGTCAATTCGTTGTAGAAACGGAACGTTTTTTGAGCTTCATAACTTTTCCTTTGACATAGCAAAAAAAGCCCTTCTTAAAGCATAAACTATCTGTATTTTCCTGCGTAATCTAAACCAATACCAGAGAAAAGACTATTTGACACAAACTTAGTTCTAAGGAGTACATCATTTTTGCTGCTCCAGTCCAGGGCCCAATGGTAAGATCATACCAGGAATATACCCCTACCTGTCTAAGGATACGTCGATCACGGTGTACTTCTCGCTCTTACTATCTTTTTCAGCTTCAGCAGCACTTCGCACCGGAGTGTTCACTTGGAATGGTTCAACTGAGGCTCTGGGACGTTCGGAAATGGTAGCAGTCCGATTTGTTTCCTGGACACGGTGAGCCTATAACACATTATCGGCTAAGCTTGAAATGGTTTACAGATGATTAGATAGAACAAACCAGCTGCTGCATTTTTCTGTGCTCAGACAAAGCAGCCGCAGCTGCAGCTTGTCGTCTTCGGTAAAGCTCGTCAATCTGGAAAACAATCGTTAAAATCTTAATGGTTCGATAGAAATACGAGGCGCTTATACCTGTCGCCGCAGAATCTCCACTCTTCCAGCTGCGATGCGAAGAACGTTTTGCTGTTCATGCAATTCTGCACTAAGATGGCTCAGCTCAATTTCTTTCTCACTGTTCTTCTTTGCCAGATTTTGACTCTCATATTCCAGCTCGGAAAGTCTGAAATATCAATTATACAGGTTGAATAAAACTACAATCCAATTTGCTTACCTTTTCAGCTCCAACTCCTCCTCAGCAAGATCTCTGCGTATCAATTTAATTTTATGTAAAGCATCGGTTCCACCTTGGGCTAGCATAGCTTGTCGTCGGTCCACTTCTCGGCTAAACAGAAGTACTCATGCGCATAACAGCTGCAGCAACCATAAATTCTTACCGATTCGCTTCAATCTGCTTTCTCTGCCTTTCTGCGAATTCAATCATTTCGTTGTAATTTCTGAAAGATAAACTTTGCATTCACCTACCATGCACAATCTTACTAGTCAGCTAGCATGCAACTGATGCTGATACAATCTATTTTTGCTAAGATTTACATATTCAAAAACCTTGTATCAAAATTAGTCGAAAATTTTTAGAAAGATTTATGTGTAAATTGAATGTGTTGGATAAACTAGCAGAAGGATTCAAGCCCTTTTCCGTCAATTCACCACAGATTGCTGGCCTTATTAAGATAAAATCCTAGTTACTAAACTTCAGAGCACTAAACTCTCA